AGCCTGTTTGAAACGGAGAGAAACTGGAGGACTCTCACACAAGTAAAGCTTCATGTGTGAGTGACTTCTGTTCGCATGAGTGGAGCTTCGTGTGTGAGCGCAAGTTCCACGTGAGTGGAAGGCTTGTGCACCTGCCGCTTGCACACATGGAACTATGCACCTGCCACTCATACACCACCCCCACGCCAGGCTGGGCCACCAAGCTGGAATGGTTGGGGACTGCTGCTCTAACCTATTTAGGTAGCCCAGGCAAGAGGAGGAGGTGCAAAATTATAAGTGTGATTTTACTTTAAATGTGTCCTAACGTGAGGGATAGTGCCTAAAGCAGAGGAAGTGATGTGATAGACCTCAGCGAAGTAGCAGTTTCCCAGAAAGAAGGGAGCACATTCCAAGGTGGGAGATGAGACAAAAGACAACACAGTCTGGGGTTGAATATGAAACAGAAGAAAGTTAGGATAGCCATTTCCTAGAATACCTCAGGGTATATCAGGGTGAGAATAGTAAATATTTAATCTGGTCAGATTCTGTATATTTGGTATCAACAAATAAAGAACTGAACTTTGGCTGGATTGTTCTATGTCGTTCTTGGGCTAGGCCTGAATCTTGCTGTTGATATACAGCAATGGCTGGAATTTAAGTGCTGTAGAAAATAAATAAATAGATAAATTACTTATCAGACATTCCTTAATTAGTTTGTGCATATTTTAAGGCATCAAATAGCACTCCTGCTAGGAAACCTGTGCCCCATCATGACGAGCAAGTGCTTAGCTTTGATGTCACCTCTGTCCGGAAAACACTGTTAAAAAAAAAAGATCTCGTGAGAAGATCTGACTGAACTTTTTTTAGTCCCACAAACTCTGTTTTCCTGCAGCAAGAGAGAAACGTGCCAAAGCTCGAAAGCAGGTTAGTGAAGAAATGCTTTCGGGAAGAGAGAGGAGCTGGGTGGTGGTGCGCCAAACTCTACAGCAGCACTTGGAGGAGAAGCGGCAGGAAACGGGGCTGCCATTTCCAGAATGGAGAAGGGAGACACGGGGCGATGCAGGGCGGCAAGCAAGTGCTCTTCTCTTCTCTGCATTGCTGCACAGAGCCGCTCCCCTCCCCGTTCTCCGTTCTCTCCAGTGGCAGCGACAGAGGGCTGGCGGAGGAAAGCAGCAGGGGAGGCTTGCGCTGCCCGGTCACGGCGCAAGCCATGGGAGAATTGGTAGAGTAGGAGGCTGCAGCTGCCGCCGGGCAGATGATCTGTTGGGTGAAGCATGAAGAAAGTCCCTCCAGCGGCGCACAGCAGCAGCGGAGCCTTTCACTGTCACTCCCCCCGGCTCTGAAACAGCGGAGGGGGACCGGGCCTATCCCGCCCATCCATGGCAGTCCAGCTTGGGAGGGGAGTGAAAGGGAAGGTCGCCGAGCAAGGAATGGTCTGGCTGGGGGGGGGGCCTGAAGTAAGCAGGTGCGGGGTGTGTGGGGCAGCTCCACCTCCTACCCCATTGTGACAGTGAGGCGGGACGGAGTGGGCAGGGTCCTAACTAGGGCTTATTTTGGGGGTAGGGCTTATATTAGGCCCACCCCCCAAAATCAGGGTAGGTCTTATTTTCGGGGTAGGTCTAATTTTCGGGGAAATATGGTATGTGTGATTAACCTAAAATTGGTTCTGTTATCGCTGTTTTACTAACCTGACAGCTTATTATTCTAAATAGGAAAACTTCATTTTGTTTGCAAATAATATTAAAGATTCTAATTACCAGCAAGAATGAGTCCTTACATTTAAAGAGCACCTGTCATTTCAGATCCATCATGGTAGCGCCTGTTAGCAGGCATCCACTTACCTGCTGCCCACCACGTCCCTCACCTTGTTGTGTCACTGCCGCATCACCAGCTGTCCCATTAAAGTGAATGGGACTGTCGGTGAGTCAACTGCCCGTCAGAGGAGGAGCCACTGCGGGACAGAGATGACAGTTGCTCTTTAAAAATTACGATTTAAATTGAGTTGATTTATATCAAGCCCTTTTACTAGTGATTTAAATCATGACCATTCCCCAGCATCTAGTAGACAAACTGGGCCTTTTAGGCTTAAACACTCCTTTGTGCAACTGGATTCTTGATTTTCTTACTAACAGGCCCCAATATGTGCGAGCTGGAACAAATATTTCTAACACCATTTTCTTGAGCACAGATTCTCCTCAGAGCTGCGTCCTAAGTCCACTGCTGTTCACACATGACTGTTGTGTTAGATTTGCCACCAACCATATTGTGAAGTTCACAGATGATACAAGAGTAGTGGGCCTTATTCATGATGATAATGAAGGTGCTTACCGCAAGGAGGTTGAGGGTTTGGTGAACTGGTGTAAGGAAAACAGCCTAGCTTTAAATACTGGAAAAACCAAAGAGATCATTGTCGAGTTCAGAAAAGGTAGGCACAGCCACACTTCTCTATGCATTAATGATTCACCTGTGGAGATGGTTACCAACATCAAATTCCTGGGTGTGCAATTAACAAGTAGGCTGGCTTGGTCACTCAACAGCGAAACACTGATGAAGCGAGCACAGCACCACCTGCATTTTCTGTGTAAGATTGTCTGGGACACTACACATTCTCTTCACGACCTGTTTTCCTTGTTACCTTCTGGGAGAAGGCTCTGTGGTATCCAAAGCAGAACATCCAGAGATTCAGTCACAGTTTTGTTCCATACAGTATTAACCTTGTGAACTCTAAACCTTCCTCCTTCTTTTATATATTCAAGATGGACAGTGATTAATATTTATATGTTACTTATATGTAAGGGTGTAGGTCTATACATACGTTGCATATAATATACTTAAATGTGTGTTATGTATGTGTACATTTTGAGAGCAAGCAACTAAATTTCATTTTTAATGTGTGCCATTGTGCCCACAGTAAAAAATGATAATAAAATCTTTCTTTCTTTCTTTCTTTCTTTCTTTCTTTCTTTCTTTCTTTCTTTCTTTCTTTCTTTCTTTCTTTCTTTCTTTCTTTCTTTCTTTCTTTCTTTCTTTCCTTCCTTCCTTCCTTCCTTCCTTCCTTCCTTCCTTCCTTCCTTCCTTCCTTTCTTTCTTTCTTTCTACCCAGCCTTGAATCGGAGATGCCAAACTTGTTGGAAAACCCATAGTAGAGAAAGTTGTATCAAAAAATGCTTCTGAAAATTTATTACTTGTACAAATATTTGGATAGATCTTCATATGAATTTAGGAAAAGAATCTTATATTTCTTCTTCTTTTGTATATCTTCATTTTGCAGCATTCAGTTTTTTTCCTATCATTTTTTGATCATCCTGCCTTCTGTTGCAAAGTTTCTTCCTCCAGCCACTTTTATTGCCTTTTCTAAGGCAGATCCAAAAGTTACAAAAAGCTGAAAACTTTTCCAGATTTCCAGATCTTATGAGAACTGATGGTAAATAAGTGCTAGGAGGGGAAGTAGAAAAAGTGGACATGTTGATGTCTGTGTACAGTATTTAAAGCAAAATGTAAGAGCAGGTTGCAGACGTTTTGCTGACATTCATATTAGGTTCTACTAGAATAGTTTCAGCTTGCTTTTAGGAACCTCCCAAGAAATGCTAGGCGGAGGAGAAAATTGTACAATGGCTGATTTCTTATTTTTTTAGAATATCAAGTGGAAATATAGTGCCCATGGATTGGAATTAGACCAAACATTTGTACTTTTATTTTTTTACTGTTTCCTACCCAAATGGAACAATGAAAATAAATTATGCAAAGGGTGTCAGGCCTCTGCCCATCTGGCTGCTCATCAGCAGGAAACTCTCAAACCTGGACAGAATGGGACCAAATCTGGTGTGACAGGAGAAACCAGCAAAAGAAAGTTTGAGTTTGAAATTAAGCTGGATCCAATCAGGGTCTGAGGAGAAAAAAAATCAGGAAAAAAAATCCCCAAAGCATCCCTATGGGAGAGGCATTTGTGCAGCAGCTTGCATAGCTTCTGACTGCTTCATTCTTAAACATAATGTGACCCAGAATAGATAGAGCTTGTCTTAAAGGGTTGGAGAGGTTTCCAGAAGCCATGTTTTGCCTACCTTGATCAGAATTTCTGATTTATTGTAAAGGTAGTCAGCTCCTCAAGGTCATCACAAAACAACACCCAGCATAATTTTCAGTTCCAAGACTAGGCTGTATATAGGCTCCCTTAAGTATTCTTGGAAAATAAACATGGTGGGTGAGTAACATCCAGTGATGTGTTTGATTCGGAAAAAGAAATATAAAGTAAGCTGGGGTGTTAAAAAGCATTTTGCAGGAAGAGCAGCCAAATAGGATATTGAGAAGTAAAACCTCAGCAGTTTGCCTTCTGGTAGATGTATTTTTGTGGATTATCCATGGCCACTGTGGTATGCATTTTTGGAATGCACAAATCCCTCCCCCATCGGACAGCTAATTTAGAAAAGTGCCATATCCTCAAAATGCAAATCTATCCACAGTAGCCAAACTAAGATTGTGTGTCATTGTTCTAAAATAACAAATTCAGCTGTTAATTTGAATGTTGTTCTGTGAGGTATATGGAAGATTCCCAGAGAACTTACAGTAGCATCCATTGGTTGTGTACATGCAGCACTCTGAACCCAGAACCACCAGGCTAACAAATTATGGTTACTATGTTCCTATAACAAGCTGTTTCTAAACAAATAAATCATATGAAGGCTTAACATGGTTGTTTAGTTTTTAATTACATTTTAACCTACTTTGGTTGGTTGTATGAATCCCATCAGTATTCCTCTTTCACCAAAGAATTGTCTTTTCTTTCCTCAAAATGTCATGCAGGTTTATTTTCATGAGCAGACACACAGAGAAATACACTTGCATCTTTCTTCTTCTTGGGAAAAAAAATGCCCAGAGCACCTCCCATCCACTTCCTTATAGAATTGCTCTGGCCTTTTCTGAGCAGCCGGCAACCGTGCTAAGGGGGCTCCAGTTATCCTTATGTGGGTTGGGTTTGTTGTTGTTGAGGGGGATGTTCTGTTGGTCCCTCCCACAAGGGGGTGGTGGCTGTTGCCTAGCAAAGAACCCAGAATACACAGAGGTGGGACTACCGGAGAACAAAGGCAGGTCTGTTAATATCTTCCTCTTTCTTCTCCTTTTCTCTTCCTTCCTGGTCCGGCTGCCTTCAGTAATAGCTTGGCCTGCTGCCAACGGGTCATGTGGCCCAAGTTGTCCCCTTTGTATCTGCAGCACCGGGGCAGACTGCTCCAACCACTGTTATGAGGTAAGTTCCATGTAGGTGCGTTGTGTGTTGGATTGTCTTTTCTTTGAAGTGTAGATGAATCAGTCAGCCTGGATAGTTTGAACTGGATAGTTGCTATGTGTTTTTCACTGAACCAGGCAATGGCTTGGCAGAGGAAAAGAAATCAGAATTGTTTGTGATTTTAATAACAACGAATAGAAGGCTTGGTGAGACTGAGCAACACTTTCCCCTGCAGTGTCTATAATCCTCTCCTTTGAATCTTCACGTGCAAACTTTATTTGCACAGCTAGATAAAATTCATATGTTGTATTGTGTGATTGTGAAAGTTTACCAGCTTTTATTTGTTGAATGGTATGTTTCCGGCTTGTTTTGCTTGCGCCACTCTTCTTCCAGCTTGCTTTAGATTTCAGGTATATATAAATAGAGTTAAATATGCTCTCACATGGATAATAATTTAAAAAAAACCCTTTATTTCGTAGTAATACCTAGCAATTATATTTTTCAAAGATGTTCATAAAGATGCATGCTAATGACAGAGTCTAGATTGGAAGTAGAATCATTTTATTTTTAAGCATGTTGAACAATTAACTATCACAAATCCTAACACTAAACCTTTGCTTCCAAATCTCTCCCTCTTCAGTGAGTAATATCCCTGCTTCTTTTGGGCTGTGGTATAAGGATCAAGACCACCACCACCACTACTACTCCTCTTCCTCCCTTTTCTTCTCTAAATTGTACTTCTATTTACTTAACCTCAGAAAGTTTCTCTAATGTAGAGATTGCAAACAAAAAGAAAAAAAAATTTCCCTGTACTTTCTATTACTTTACTGGAAACATTCATTCCTGTTTGTTCATTCTGGATCTCTAATCACTGGGAAGAAAGTCTAATTCCTTATAATTTCTCCTGTGTTTTTAAATGACAGTTAAATCAGCCTTCTGGATTCCTGGGGTTATGGGGGCGGTGAGAGAATGTCAGTTTTGATGTAACTGCCATCTTTACCTCCATCTGCTCTTCCCAGTAACATGCTGTGCACCATTATTGCCATTTTGCACATTCTGCAAGGATGTGCAGTCTTCAAGTATGGTGGGAATTTCCTTTGTTTCCACTTTTCAAATGAAAAGATTAAATGGGAATAAGATCTTTATTCATAATACCACTTTGCTAGTTTAATCTTTCAGAATCTAAGTAACCTGTGGTCTTTACTAATCCCTTTATTTTTTCTTCCTAAATGGAGGTAATACTGAAAGATTATGTCCACTATGGTGTACCCCAGGGAGGAGAAAATGGACAAGCTAAGCCAAGAAGAGATTATCTCCAACACCAAGCTGGTGATGCAAGGGCTAGAGGCCCTTAAAAATGAGCATAACTCAATCTTGCACAGCCTACTGGAGACTATCAAGTGTCTGAAGAAGGATGAAGAAGCCAACTTAGTACATGAGAAAGCCAACCTGCTGCGCAAGTCAGTGGAGATGATTGAGCTGGGACTTGGAGAAGCTCAGGTGAGCTACAGTTTGTAGATGAATCAAAAAAAGCAACCAAATACAGGCAATCAAACATAAGGATTCTAATATACTGTCTAGAACAGGCATGCTTACTAAGTAAACATGGTTATGTGCATACCTTTTGTTTATGAAGTGCAGAATAGTCAAACTACCAGGCACAGAACACATTGGTAAATACTGTATTTTCTGAATGCTGGTTTGTAGTTTTATGATTGTATGGAGAGAATTGAAACCTGTATATAGTAATCGATACTTGGTTATGAGCAGAGAGGACTTAAACTTTGAGTTTCCACTTTTTGTCCATCTGCCTAAGCATTGGCTTTTTTTCTCTTTTGATTTAGGAAAAATGGGATTAATTGTTCAAAATAGCAAATATATGTACCGGTATCTATTCAAATTAAGGACATCAGTATGTCGGGTTTAGCCTTTGCAAATGTTTACAATGCAGGGCATACAAAGCTGATACGAATGAGATGAAGTATCCAATCATATTTGTTGTTCCTTTTCCTCCTTTCTGGCAACATTGTTCTTCTCTTTTTCCAAACCCCCCAAAAATAAAATGGAACAGGCATCTAAGATAGTTTATGTTACACAACACTGGGTTATGGTCCAAACTCATTATTTTGCAGTGTTTAAAAACCAATTCTTTGTACAATTCTACCTTTGGCTTGTTCCAAGGCCATAAGAAATATGCTCACTAATTTTTCTACAAGTCTTGGAATTCTGTTTGGTGATATGTATGTTTTCCTCAAGAGAGACATTTCTCCTTTTTTCTCTTGAACCAGGTCATGATGGCACTGTCAAACCACCTGAATGCTGTGGAGTCTGAAAAGCAGAAATTGCGGGCTCAGGTGCGCAGGCTATGCCAGGAGAACCAGTGGCTACGAGATGAACTAGCAAACACTCAGCAGAAGTTGCAGCGCAGTGAGCAAACTGTGGCACAGCTTGAAGAAGAAAAGAAACATTTGGAATTCATGAACCAGCTGAAGAAATATGATGAAGATGTATCCCCATCGGTGAGAATCTATGGGATAGAGCATCTGTGCTTACTGGAAGTTTCTGCATACAAAATAAGCTAGTAATAGCTTTCTCAGAGTTCCTAGTAAAACTACTTTGAGTTTGCCTCTACTGGGTATGACAGGCACAGGTTTACCTACCCTTGAAATTATTATCTTGAATTATCTTCCTGGGAAAAAGAATATTGTATCATTTGCATCAATGTTGGGCATAAAAACCTTGCAATACTAGTCCATAATGATCTCTCTCTACCCCTTTCTCTTGGTGCTTTTCTATATTAACATTTCAGGAAGAGAAGGAAGGTGATTCTACAAAGGATTCTTTGGATGACTTGTTTCCAAATGAGGAAGAGGATCAGGGACAAGGATGTAAGTTTCATTCTTTCACTCTTCCTTTGGGGAGAGCAGACACAAATACTGTATGAACTGCTTTTGAACTTCACTTCCTCCAAATATTCCATTTGGTTGAAAAATTAAGGATACAAAGAAGTGACAATTCTTATTGGTATAAATAAACCATAATATAGCATTGCATGCTGTGCTTCTTTATTTATTGATGTGATATGTATTTGCAGTACCTCATCAACACAGCAGTGCTGTAGCAGCTGCTCAGCAAGGTGGTTATGAGATCCCAGCACGCTTGCGTACACTACACAATCTGGTGATCCAGTATGCATCACAGGGACGCTACGAGGTGGCTGTGCCTCTTTGCAAGCAGGCCCTGGAGGACTTGGAGAAGACTTCAGGACATGATCACCCTGATGTGGCCACCATGCTCAACATCTTGGCCTTAGTATATAGGTGAGGAATAGAGAGGTAGACGGTACTTGCTTTTTGTGGAGATGGAACAGCATCTCAGGAACAGAAATGGGAGAGGGAGCATGAGAGAGGTCAGTGTAGTTAACCTGTATTGTGGCAACCTCTATTAAGATGGGATGTTATGTCTATGCAATGTAATCTCCCTATGTTTGTGTCATGTTTACATAAATTGTTGTCCCTCTATTTTAAACAGTATCTGCATCTAACATTTTGTTGCAGGGATCAAAATAAATATAAAGAAGCAGCTCACCTGTTAAATGATGCATTGTCTATTAGAGAGAAAACTCTTGGTAAAGATCATCCCGCAGTAAGTGGCTATTATTTCTTTCACTTCAAGGAGGATCCGAATATATAGAAATTGAAAAGTAATTGTGTCATTGCCTGGTCAAGTCTTCTGATTCCCAGGCTAATCCATATTTTAGCCATGGTAACTGAGGATGATCAGAATAATATATCTGGAGGGCACTAGATTGAAGAAAGCTGCTTCTGCACATAGACACACGCAGATAAAATAGACCTAATAAATAAACCACAAGGAAGGGAATCTGGCCAACCACTAATGGAGTATATATGCCTATAAGAGGCATTAATGAAGATGCACAGTATTAAGAAAGAACAGAGGACAAATGAAAAAATATCTTTTGACTTTTCACTGAGATGGAGCAAACTGAATCAAAAGTCTAGCTGTCTACACCTTTGTTTCCTAAACTGTAAGGCAACATTGGGCAAATAGCTTTATAAGGAAATCCAAGCATGTGATTACAGTAGTGACATTTGGGCCCAAATTTATAATTGTTTTATATTTAAAATATCAATACATATGTTGCTTTACAAATTGTTGGCAAAAAATACGTGGCTGAATAGAGCAACAGGATTTCTTAAAATAATATCCTGCTGAGAAATGGTGACACAATTAGGGCTCTGTTTCAGATATCCAGTTACTGTTAATGTTAATGCTGTCAGCTATAACAAATTGGCTCTCTAAAGGGTATCATTTTTTATGTCCAGTATTTGTGTGTATGTGTGTGTGTGTGTTTTGATTCTTCCTTAGTTTTGGTGCAATTGTTTCCACATCTCTGTGCAGGTTGCTGCAACCCTAAATAATCTAGCCGTTCTGTATGGCAAAAGAGGGAAATACAAGGAAGCAGAACCATTATGCAAGCGGGCACTGGAAATCCGGGAAAAGGTATTTTTGTCTTTCAGAAGCTTGAAGGAAGAAGGTTTAGGCTATGGGAGTGAGCGTATACAACAACTCTCACTGCTGACGATTCCTACAATAGATGCCTGTTTCAGAAAAGAAATATATTTTTGATGAATTGTACACATAATGAGTCTAATATGAATATAATCTGATGCCATGTATACAAAATTCAAGTTTCTAATGTATTTATGATGCAGTTTTCCCAGGAAAAGAAACATTTTGCAGAATTCCCAGAATTTTATAAACTATTCTTATCTGCTTCATTTTCAGGTTCTAGGCAAAGATCACCCAGATGTGGCCAAACAGTTAAATAACTTGGCTTTACTATGCCAGAATCAGGGCAAGTATGAAGAAGTAGAATATTACTATCGCCGAGCACTGGAGATCTACGAATCCCGCCTAGGGCCTGATGATCCAAATGTTGCTAAAACAAAGAACAATCTGGTGGGTCTGTTTGTTGATGTGAGAACAACGGAGGCAAATGATTATCTGAGATGAGGGGTGACTGGCTATGGAATGTGGTTTTGCTACTTTTATAACAATATCCCTTGTACTCTACCAGGCCTCCTGCTACCTGAAACAAGCCAAATACAAGGATGCCGAGACCCTATACAAGGAAATTCTCACCCGTGCCCATGTGAAGGAATTCGGCACAGTTGATGGTATGTACGTCAAAGAAGAAGAGGGCAACATGTGCTAAGAGACCAAGTCTTAGAAGGAGATCGAAACCCTTGAATGTTAATTATGAAGCTTTCTCAAACATTCCATAATTGTTAGGACAGATGTATGCAGGAAAGAGAACTTCTTGGCAGAAAGTAGGAAAAGTACACTATTCATAAGTAAATGAACTACTGATCTGTCTTATTTTTTGTACATGGAAATAGCACTCTATATCTGAATATGATCAAGAGCTATTTTTCTTTTGGACACATTTTGATAAGTAAATGATACACAATCTGTAAAGATTTTTAATTAGCGGTGAAGTACACTGTCTAATCTCTTGTAGTTTGCTTATCAAGTCTTTGCTTATTTGTTTACAAACAAGGGGAAAGGGATCTAAAAGCCAATATAGTGGAGCTTCCTCTGAAACTACCATTAGGAGGCATATAGAGAACTTTCCCATCTTCTTATCTTTTCTCTACAGATGAACACAAGCCTATATGGATGCATGCAGAAGAAAGGGAGAAAATGAGCAAGGTGAGGATGGGAGCAGTGCTCTCACAGGCATTGCAGTGCCAGCCTAAACCATCAAGTAACTGAAGGAACTCCTGAATGACAATTGGGAATAATTTTAGATTAGAAAAAAATTAACTGAAAAGAAGGACACAATCTTATAGTAAAATGATGTATAGTGTAGAGAGAGATACAAAAACCCTCTCTCAAAGCCCAGGTTTATGCATTTAAGCTGAATAAGTACAAGACAGATAAAAATAATCACTTATTCCTATTGTAACCTTGCTGTTAAAGAGTCCCAGTTCCAGTGGGACATTAGAACTTTTTCATCAAAATTGGGTCACATGTATGCCTTTTATCAGCTTTAGTTGATATGCCAACTGTATCCCTTCCTGGAAAAAAAACTAGCTCAGCGGTCAAATTGATCTATGAAAGAACTCACCAAGATACCATATTAGCCTTGTGTCAGAAGCGTTGCACAGACTGTCAGTTTATTTCCAAGTGAAACGCCAGTTGTTTCTAGACCTTTGTCACTTGGGTCTAGGCTGGTGAGGAGAATGCTTCTTTTCTATAGGATTCCCCATCCTTCAAGAAATCATCAGTTGTCGAATTGTGTGTTTGATGGTTAAATCTTTGGATTCCAGGTCTTTGAAATGTACTGCCTGATGAGTAGAAGAATATGTCATTTTTGTTTTTCTTTGAAAAAGGTCTCAAACCTATATTTTTTCAAACATGTAAAAATGTATATTCAACAATTAAATATAAGATTAGAGTATCATAAAATAGAGTATAGATAATCAGCAAATAGGATGGTTTTGAAAAGGTTGTGCAAATTCATAGAGAATGTAATCATTAATATTAATAGATACCAGTTATTTTCAGGATCAGGGCCAATAGGCCTCAGAACCAGTTCTTGGTAAGCAAAAGTATAGAGAAGGAATTCTTCTTTCTCTTTTATGAAGGTATTCTCAGGCATGAGATTGTGGGAACTAGATACTGTGCTATTCAAACCTTTGATCTGAATGAAGACAGTTTTCCTGTGTTTTTCAAGGTTCTGTGATGTGAACTGGAAGTGTTTGTCCTATTCTTCCCATGTCTTGCATATTTTCTCTTTGTTGTAGTGGATTCCTTAGGACATACTGGAAAATGGACAATGGAGGGATTTCAGCAGGTTCTGGGCCACAGACATTTCAGAACCAGAATGATAAAGCTTGCTGTTTTGAAAGGCCATCTTTAAACTTCTTAGATTTAGAAAATTTAATTATTAATAGTTTCCTAGATTGGGAGGAGAGAAAGTTAAGTTGAAAAGCCTCTGCATACTAGAGCTACACAAATCCAAAGTCCTTGGCTTTGAGCTTCTGCACCTCACTCTTGGAAAATCTGTACAATATATGGTCCATTACTATGAATAGAATAGAAATTCTGGTAAACTTCTGGGACATTTTGAACTAAAGTGCTGAATACATCATAGCAGTTTGCAAAGATGGCTTCATTCTCTGTTTTGTCTTGTGAAAGCTATTGGATTTTTTATTTTATTAATGTAAGCTAGTGGCTGATAACTGCTTCCAGCAGTAGAGAAAAATAGATATCTATTTCCTGGATTTTAGTACTTTATAGTACGTAGTTTCCCAAATCATTGCTATGATTGCTAGGCAGAATTAGCACTGCTTATCTTATTGCTATCTATTTGTCTTTCTGCACAATGCCTTTCTGTGAAATAGGTGGTTTAACGGGTGAAAAGGACTACATATGAATGTGCATTCATGTACTAAGTGGTACTAGTTAAAATATGTCAGCTGTTCTTGATTTCTGCCTATCAGTGCATTGTTACTTAAGTCATTGGTTGCATTTGTTAATTTGGACACATCCCATCTACTGACTTGGATACAAAAGCTGACTGTACCCATAGGATCATGCTGAGAAGTCTCTGAAATTAAGAACTCTTCGTGAAAGACTGTTAGTTTTTTATTGGTTTTCCCTGAATTTTGAGTGGAAAAAGATCTGACTCTTCATCTCTGGCATGTGTGAGGATTTTCCTTATACCAAAAAATGACACCATTAAATCAGAAACCTTCTGAGTTCAAGGGATTGGTTTGGACTCCTTTGATTGTGTTGTGTGATTTTATATATTTGTCATTTTGTAGTAGTAAGCATCAATTTACCTTCTAATCATTTTAATATCAGGTACTTTTGTTTCTACCAAACTTTTATGTCATAGTTTTCAAACTAATGGAAAAAGATGCCTACATGAAACATGATATTGACACCTTCTTCCTGAATACAGCTAATGGGATTTGCAATGGTATGTCATCCCAAAAGCAAATTGGATAATTTGATAAGGAGAGGAAAAGGCAAGGTAGCTGTTATGAGTGCAAAAGGTGTATAAACAGCAGACTCGCTGATCGTCAAAAGTGAATTTAGGTTCTCATTTGTTGAAGCTTAGTAAAATGCCAAATGAATCTTTGGGAAGAATGAAACAGATGAAAAATATTTAACAAATAAATAAATCAGTTAGATTTATGATTTTCAGGTATTTATCTTGCTAGAAAATATTTCTGAGAAATATTTAAGAAAACCTAGACAAGGAAACGCAAAGTATTCAGAGTTTAATATCCATCCATTTGTCTATGTAAATTAGTACCCCAATGTGATGCAAACAATAAAAATTCCACCTAATAACTTTTTCTTTAACAGCTAAGTTATATCACTTTTTCTTAAACACAGAAGTGAGCCGGAGCACTTCAGCATGACAACACAAAAGATATTTCCAAGCAGTGGAAAGAAATTAGATTATATGTTATTACTAGAATAATAGAGTACTATTTTAGTAATGTATTTATTCAGTTTCCATTGTCTTGAATGTCTTCTCCCACTAGACTACCTGATTTTTTTTTGTTTGCTTCATGTTATTAAAGGGCATAAAAACCATTTTACTAGAGCATTGCTTTTGTCACAATCTATATAGCCTAATGATGTCATAAATATGATGCTGTCCCAAATAGAACTAAATTCTATCTTACACATGGAATTTATTTCCACATAAGTGTGAAAGAATTAGATTTCTTTTCATTTCATTCCCTATGGGAAATTTGGGGATTGTAAAAATAGAATGAGGATAGCTAGTTACCATTCCTGTTGGGATGTTACATAAATAAACCTTGTGGGTTTTTCAAATTACATTTTATTAAGCTTTTTTAAGAGGAAAAAAGAGAAAAGGAGTAAATAAACATGTAGTGAATAAACAGAATTTACAAGTATTGTAGTATTAGGTTATCTTTTTCAAAATGTCATTTATTGGTTTTAAATAACTGAATATATTGTTTGGAAAATAAGTCATTTTATAATCCAACAATGTATCAACAGCAGTGGTCAACACAGTGTACATCATAAAACTGAAATAAAAAATTACAATAAACTTTATCTAAGGCTACTGAAGATCTGTTCTAAGAACTTGAGTTAGAATTTGAAATTTCAGATAGGGCACAGGTCCATCTATAGAATTATACTTAGAGCAGTTTCCAATTTGAGGGAAATTCGCAGATTTATTTTTGAAATTACAAAGATATTTTGGACATTGAAGCTTACTCTCACAACTTAATTAGCCATTCTGCAGAGGAAATAGTATTTTCTAATCAGAAGTATAGACTATTGCAGCACTTACATGTACAATGTTATTTTTGAATATTTTGGGGTAATACAAGGTTAATAATACTTAATTTAAAAAATATAAGATAGGTTGAAAAGAAATTCAACTTTTAGATTTTTTTTAGAATTTGTTTCATTCTGGTATAAATTATTCACCAAAATTGTTGCGCTTTCAACATAGCCACCAAATATGAAAAAAAAATCTGACCTGGCTGTTAAATTTCCAATAATTTTTAAAGAATGAACTATCCATTTTAGTAATCAAGACTAGAGTTTTGTAGCAGAGGTAAAATGCCCTAATACCAATTTTTCTAAGTATAGTATTCAGTGTAAACTTACTGTAGTTTTCCTCTCTGGAATTCCCATTGTTACTGTATATATGAATTACTATATCTAGATTCTGCATTCATTTAATCATACAGTCTTTAATTTGCTCCAGTTCTAAGTCATACATAAAAAAACCTTTTTTGGAAATAGCTGTAATCATTACATTTATAATCTTGGAAGTTTGTTGGTATTGTGAAGCCACTGAGATGGAGAACAGAAATCAACTGAGGAGAAAAATTACCTGTATTGCAAAAATGTATGGGTGTCAGCTCCTTGCCCTCTCTGTGCAATGTTCTAACCTTGCGTTCCAAATCAGCAATGAATAAGGCTGAGTATTGTTGATAACCATAGTTCTTTTTCCTCAAATTCCTTTCCTTCCAATCTATCCTGGAAATGTCCTAATAGCACATATCGAGCTGCAAATATATTTTGGTATCCTATACAGAAATATATAGATACTGATCTGTCTTTGCCACTATATTGCTTGGCCTACACAGGAGTGGCTGAAAATCAAGTTACTTTATATGGGAAAGATGCGAGAACCTATTTGAATTATGTGTACATAAAAATATTAATATGTTATACATCAAAATAAAATATTTGATTCTGGATGAATGATTTGCTTGTCCTGAAGACTCAGAAAGCAGCAAAGTGAAACAAGTTAATTGCAGGCTTTAAATGAGAATAAAACATGATATAATAAAGATAAATTCCACTCTTCATTAAATATTTTTTGTCCTAGCAAGTGGGAGGACGTATTATGAACTACTTGGGTCCTGTTCCTGTTGGGCTTGTAACAGGATTCAAAAATGGAATCTGACATCTAGGCTTCCTGGCAAAACCTGATTACCTTTTCATAATACATGCATGTCAGAGTACATATATTACATAACTTCCAAATCCAGTCCCTAGGAACTCCATGCAGGACATCCTGAACAACTGTAGTCAATAACTGAGCTAGATAGAATTATATGGCAACTACCTGTGTTTCTAACTTATCTGCCCAATACATTTGATATTTCAGTGTTAACTCTTAATAGGCTTTGAACCATCTAGTTATTAGGGAATTGCCTTGCCTGAGGGCATTTTGAAAATCAAAGTTGTATGCTATGGAATTGATGACTGAGCTGGAGTCCTTTCAGAAAAAGCTAAGGATACAAAAAATTTCAGTCATAATTTCAATGGAAAGTTGCATGACAGGATTCTTATGCACAGAGTTCACACTTATATGAAGCTGTGTCAGCCTACAATCCCACAAGTTTCTCGACCAACTGTATGAGCAGAAAATATTCTCATCAAACATTTTATATACATTTAATGTTTTATATGAAGAAGCTGAGAGAACTATCTTTAAGTATCAATTTATGTCACACAATTTACTAATTTAAGGGGGGGACTTTTGTTAGGCCATATCTCTGCTCTCAAATGCACTCCTATAATACATGAGCGTAATGATCAAATTCTTTGCCATACCTATTTTTAACTTTGTAGGTCTGTTTTCATCATTGGAATTTTGCTACAAATCAATATTTGTAGTATCTCAGGAAATTTGGGGGAAATTTAAATCCTGCCATACTGACCTCTGAAAAATGGAGAATGCTTTCATACCATTTGGCATTAAGATGCTTAGGAGCTCTTGCTGTGGAGCACTAAGCATATCAGGAAGATGTTCCTTATCTACTTGGTCAAGTCATACTTTAGGAGAACTAACCTGCAGATAACTTTTTTCTTCTTGGGTCAAGATGGAGCCCATCCTTGGGTCATATTTATACTATCAAGCTTGTATGAGTCTATTGACGTGATCCTCAACCTGATTTCTTTCATATGTATCAGATCTCAGTTCCCATAATTGCCCCCCCGTGCTTGCTTTGGATTATGAAAGGTGAAGTCTAGCACAGCAGAAGACTCTAGAAAAGCAAAGACTTCTCCTTATAGTTGGAAAGTTAAGAGGATCCTATATTTCTACCAAGTGTTAAACAAGTGCATTATTGTTTTTATTTTTCCCATGCATGCGGAAAGAGAAACAGAAACGCTCGCTCTTGACTTTGATGATTGTTCTGAGAAATCTTTCCCTGTTGCCAAATTCTCTTCCAGAGTAAACATGGAGAAAACATCCCTTATGCAGAGTACGGTGGCTGGTACAAAGCCTGCAAGGTCAGCAGGTAAGGTGTGGTATTTGCTTATGTTTCTAAACCTTTTATGTTATTCTATTTCTGGTTATAGAGGTTACAGAGTCCTTTGTGAGTTCCACATTTGTTCACCAAAGGAATGTGCAAAGGTGACAAGAAATATGAAGGTGGGGGAAAATATTTATAGGTTCATGAGGATGGGAATGCTGTATATGATTTGTCTGCAAATGCTTGGAGGGGGGAATGACAAAGGGTGCCCAGGAAAGCTGCTTTATTGAGCAGCCTTTGTCCTCACCACAGTCCTTCCCCCTCCCCTTTCAGGTGCTGCCTGTCTGGTATATCCTCTCTGACATGCATGCATGGGTTTAAATCCTGATACAGAGCGGTGGGGGGGAGAAGATGAACTGCTTTGTAAGGCCATTTGAATCAGAATACTGGGTTCAAAAGGAGTGCAAACCCCCCCCCCCCTTAGGATAGACTGCATGCATGTCTACTTCATTCTATTTCATGTCATGCTCTCCTATATTCTACTGACTAGTCATATTAGGAGGGGGTGTTTTTTTAAAATATAGGACTGTTGCTCTCTTATGTATTAAAAAAATAAAAATAAATCATTTGAGATGGAGCTCCTTCCAATTCCCTCCCACACACACCTTCTATGACCTGCCAACAGATCAGATTGTTTGGGCTTTTGTTCATTTTAAAGTCCTGTGACCAAAAATTAAAACAAACTATGACAGCTCTGCTCTATGAATGCCACATGCCTAGTGCCTCTTGCAGCCCAAGCTGAAATGAATGTAGAGGGCAGTGGCCAATACCTAAGCAATGGGGCAGGGTGCCCACAGTAATCTTAAGTGGCCAGTGGGAGCTCAGTAGATCCCATCCTGACCACTTCATGAACCATATCATTGGTAAACTCCCCACAGTAAGGTGGGGATGTGTGGAGTTGTATCATGTCCCTTAAATACAGTTATCATGGTAATTCTTAATTTTTGCAAACCTCAACCTCACATCTTGTTTCCACAGAACAAAATGATTACCTGGGATTGTGCATCAGTTGCAAGGGCGGCTATATGGGTGCAGGAAAAGATACTGCTGTTGTAGTATCCTCACTACATATAGGCTCACATCCATTCTGTATTACATTTTGTCTTCAATGAAAATAGTATAATTGTAGGAGTTCTATGGAGTGGTATATTCATTCATCAAAGATAACTTGGGCTTTAGTGATCAAGTTACTCCAAAGGTAAAGAATGATTGTTAATTTCAGTTTTGCACTTTTTCTTGAATGCTCCTCAGCCCCACAGTGAATACCACTCTGCGGAACCTGGGTGCATTATACAAGCGTCAGGGTAAACTGGAGGCTGCAGAAACTTTAGAAGAGTGTGCGCTACGTTCCAGGAGACAGGTAAGGCCAATTGTGACTCAGAAAACATGCTGGCATTGTGCAAAGTGGAAAACAGGTAGTCTTCCAAATAAAAGTTATTTTATCCTCAACTTAATAGAAATTCCAAAGAAAAGAGAAGTTGCATTTATATGTATAATCTTGAAACAAACGTGGAAATTAGATTAGCCTTAATTGTAGCTACCTTTCAGAGCAGTTGAAAACCACTTTTTCCAAGGAGCACTTGGGGCTTGGGGCCTGCTTTTCTGGATTGATTTTTCTGATAATTCTTTTGTGAATGAAAAAAAAATTATTGAATGTTAGATATTTTATTTGTTTGTTTGTATTCTTATGAAATGTCTTGTGGGAATCCAGCAGGGAGGGAGGGAGAAGGAAGGAGGGAGGGAAGGAAGGAAGGAAGGAAGGAAGGAAGGAAGGAAGGAAGGAAGGAAGGAAGGAAGGAAGGAAGGAAGGCTGAATAATTCAGATTTGAATGGTATCTTGAAAGCATTTTGAAAGATACTGAAGTGCTGGTGAAATTGTCACTGTAAAATGCTATTAGAGATTTCCTTGGTAATGACAGCAATGGTATAATTAAATGTAGTTAGTGTGATTAACTTTGCTTAACTTTGTGCAGTTCTTCTGTTTAGTCAGCAAAAATCACAGAGCATAGACAGAGTTGTCTGCTCAATTTTGTTGTTGTAAGATATAGCCTGCTAACTAGTTTATACTAACATTGACAGAAGCCTTCTTTCTCTCCAAACTTTAAGCAATTTATAATAAATAAGAATAAAAAGTAAAACAAGAATAGCATAAAACACCACAAAATAGGGAATCTTCTAACTCTCATAAACCTAAAAACTGCAGGAACAATTAAGAACTTCAAAATAAAACTCTAAGGTCTTTAGCTCCAAATGCCCAGCAAAATAAGACATCTCTCTATGGTATGAAGAGTCTCGTTGATGCTGTAATGTTATTCTGCTGCAGCTGGTTAGATACTATTCTTCTTCTTGATGGTTACTTCTATATTTTCAGGATATCAGCTAACTTCAATAGATTCCAAGGGGGATTTTCTGAAATGGAATTCTTAATGTGCAAAAAACAGTATTTTCCATTTTTATTTTTTCAAAGCAAAATCTAATTTTTTAAAGCAAATTTCTACACACTGAAGTGATTACCACAATTTCCACACATTAAATTCCTCAATGGATTAAATAGGCTTAGTAAGCATAAATATGTACAAGCTTCACATATAGCCCAAAACTGCCCTTTTTCTTTTTGCTTCATTTTTTTTCTCTCCATGGGAAAAGAAACCTCAGTTAACCCACAATTACCTGCTAATAACTTCCAAAACAAGCCAGGAATCAACTTAATTTTAAACCATGTTTTCCAGTATCCCTTTTTTAGAAGCTATTATTATTTCTCAGTTTTGGATATAACAGTAAATAATGACAACTATAGCTTCTAGTTCACTTTCTTTAAAAAGCAAATGTTAAAACAAGATTGAAGCAGTTATACGCAAGTCCATATAACCTGGATGTACTTTAATCCTTCCTTGTTAAATCGGGATTTAATTCAGCAACATTTCCTTAAAGAATACTAGCCTTTGTTTTGCTGCATAATATTCAATAATCCAGAATGAACTTTCTCTCTTTTTTATTTCCATTCAATCATGTTCAGTTCTCAGCGACTGTCTGTACAAGTCCCTGCAGTTTTCTTGGCAAAGTTTTTTTTAGAAGTAGTTTGCCACTGCCTTCTCCCTCACACTAAGAGAAAGTGACTAGCTATACTCACCCAGCTGGTTTGTGCCTGAGGCAAAACTAGAACTCTTCTGATCTTCTGATTTCTAGTCTTATGCCTTAACCATTACACCAAATTGACTCTCTTTCTTCTCTTGGAACTCTCAAAAAATCTTCTTTGTCTTCATGCCAAAATCATGTCCATGTCTTATTATTGTTTTTCCCTTTCAGGGTATTGACCCCATTAACCAGACTAAAGTGGTGGAAATTCTCAAAGAGGGTGATGGCTCTGAGAGGAGGAGGAGCCGAGACAGCCTGGGGGGCAGCATCAAATACGAGAATACCACAGATGGTAATGAGGAAGTGAGTATGGGCGTGGAATGGAATGGGGTAAGTACAAGTCCACCATCAAGAGCCACCTAATCCAGCCAAGAGAGACAGGGGGCAGTAACTCCCTGAATTCTGTGCTTCTTTGCTGCCCCCTGGCATCTCAGGGAGCTGATAGCCTGTCCTGGCATGCCCATCTTCATTCATTCTTCTGCATGATCTCTGCCCATTCCTCTTATTGCCACTTAGGTAGAATCAGGAAAAATCCTGCCTAGTTTCTCTGTGGTTTTTTTCCAATCATTCAGAATTGCTGAGTATGTAGAAGAAGATGATGACAATGAAAGAACAACAAGCAACTAATCTTAGGCACTTTGATCTTCTGTACTATGGTTTCATAGTAGGGAATGGGGAGGGAAAGTGGAAAAAATGATAGAGATAACTTTACTGTCAGAGAAAGTACTTACAGTTTGGCCTGGATTACAGATAGAGCGATACTTTAAGAAACTGGTGCAGGGGTAGGGACAGCAGTGTTTGTAGATGTGTGCCTGAATGGTTGAAAGGGTGGAATGAATGGGTCAAACTTTATTATTTTTTTCAAAATAGCAAAAGGCTACCCGTATCTTATTCATACACTCATTGATATCTAAGCTATACACATGGAGAAACACTTTTCTGTATTTGTTACAGGAGAACACGTGCTAAAGTAGGTGTCACTATCCTCTACCCTTCTTCTTTGCTGCCCTTTCTAGTGTCATGATTAGCTTGTTTCACTAGAGCAAAATGTTGCAAAACTGAGTAAGGAAGACCATTGAGCTGGCTCAGAATATATCACAAAACGTTTTCATTCCTTGAAAAATGGTTGTCTCACTTCCAGTATTACAACATTACATCCAGTTCATAAATGATAAAGCCAGTTTTTGATAAAAAAAATCAATCTGTATAAAACTAGTTTTTTTAACGAAAAACATATTTTTCTCTCCCCAAAAATTTGTTCTGTCCTTTAAATACAGAGATCGATATTTTGATTAATGTATTTACCATGTATTACCACCTTTGATATATCTGTTTTCTCTAAGCTTTATTTTAAAATAGATTGAGCAGCAAATAATTTGGTCTCAATTAATGGTTGTGGGAGGGTGTGGACCATTCATTATTTCTGTGCTTTGGTCATACTAACAAACACTTGCTTGATTGCTCTTTAACTCTTCACACTCTACTCTACTGATCCCTTATCTGCATGTGCTTCTCCATTCCCCATCTATCATAAACAAATTGCCATGACAGCCAATCAGCATCTAGGTGTCTTGCTGTCTTGATTGTGGATTGTACCCAGAAGGAATACATTAAAAAAAACTTACGATACTTGAAAGAAAACCTGAGCCTCCTAGAATTATGCAAAATAACAATACATGACATTTGAAGGGTACTTTCCAATTAGAATTAAAACCTATATGATATACAATATCCAACTGAATAAACCACTTGCAGTTTTTCCCTTATTCTAAGATCTTGGAAAAACATTTTAAATGCAGGTATATAATACTTTCTTCTTTCAATTCAGTTTTCTGACAAATAGTGTGAGGAAAAGGATGAATTCTAAATATGATAGATAAATAAAATAAAAAATAGAAAGTACATGACAATAACATAAGTATTTGTAAGGCCATAGCTTTTAGTACTTCTCTCCAAAGAACCAGTATTTTATTTGTCCCAGAATATACAAAATATACCATTTGTATATAATATATGCATAACAGTTTTGAACCACTCTCTTCCTTAAATGTTACATTCCTTGAATCTTTGATTAGTGTCCCTTATCTGCCTTAATTAGTGTCATTCATCTTAGTTATTCTATGCTGTAATAAAGAAGGATTATCTGCATCCATCTTGTATAGTTTGCTTTTTCCAGGATTTAGGGTGGACTAAATGAAAAAAGCAAGTAATTTCAGATGGTAATTTCCTTTCTATTTCAATGGTTGTAGTATCCATACTACATCCCATGTTCTTGGTCACTTTATTTGCTGCAGAGGCAAATAAAGTGGATTCTTGTTCCAGGAATCCTCCTCCATTTGAAAGCATATTATTTAGATGAATGCTAGAACATTAGTCAAATAGAAGGGTGGCAGCATCTTATGAAAGTTATCTATGCTATATTATGGCCTGCAACATCTAAAAAGAAATAATAATAATAATAATAATAATAATAATAATAATAATAATAATAATAATAATAATAATAATAATAATAATAATAATAATAATAATAATATTCTTCTTCAAGAAGAATTTTAAAAGTTCCTTCTATGTATTTGCCATATATCTGCTTTTAATCCAATTATATTCAAACCATGTTTAGAAAACCTGGTTTGTTTGGGATTGTTTTTTTTTTTTGAAAGCTTACCAAGATTTTTCACAGAGATGCGAAAACTGCCCAAAAGACATTTGTCACTCTTTCCAGTAATCCCTAAAATGCATTTCTTATCATCACAGTTATAACTGGAATGGCAAAATGCTGAGATCCTATAGCACTGTCCAGTAAATTGAGTATTTCCCAGAATGTTCAGCATCAGAAGTTATAGTGTAGTCATGAGTCAGAGTAGAAAAACAGCTTTCTATCATTACAGCTCAGTACAATTTTCATTATAGGAATTCTTAAACCTGACTTAATTTTCCTATACGTCTGTGATATTTAAAGTATAAAGACATTAGTTTGAACCTCAGGCTGTAGGTTTGAATGTAATCTTTATTTCTCACTTGTTTGTCCTGTCTCTTCCTTGTACAGTTAGATCTACACTCATGAAGCTCTTATATTGGCATCTTATTCTTTTTTCCTATCTGCTTTAAATTTCATTGACATTCTCAGATTTAAAAAATCCCCAGCTAAAACTATTGAATCCTCCCAACCCTTGCCTACATTTTCCAACAGCCTCAGAAGAAGATTTTAATGCATGAAAGTGTAGGGCCCAACTCCCAATGTACTGTATTCAGTAAAATATTCTTAGATAGCTGAAATCTGGAACCAGATAGCTATGAGCTAGGTAAAACAATATAATAACAATTTAATATTATCCATTTCATGTATGTAAAAAGCTCCTTTTGCCCTACTCTGACAGCTTACCCCACATGAAAGATCCTATTATGCTTAATTAAGTTGCCATTTGCCAAGAAGCAAACTGTTATGTACTACTGCCAGTTTACCATCTCCAGCTTCATTCTGTTAATGGATACTTGTTATTCATCTTTTTTTCCTGTTTTGCTTTGTTTGGGAGTAGGATGTTCTTTCAGGAAGAAGAAAGCAAGTCTTACAACCTACAAATTGGCCCACAGTGGCTAGGAGAAAGGTTATGTTTGTATTGCTAAAGTTATCTGCTAAGTTTATACATTTTATGTATAAATATATACATAAAAATAAGCAGAACGTAAAGGAGGGAAAGAAATACATTCTGTGATCTTAACCATTAAGCATTTATGTTAATAACCAGCTTTTCATGCGCTGCATTTTCCCAGTTTTCATGTATGTTTGAATTGAAATGTTAGCATACAGTGATTTCTCAGGACCTTGGATTGGAACTGCAACAGTGGGAAATAATTGTCTCCCAGTAACTGTTCTGGAAGATTATTTTTATTTAGGAAATAATTCCAAAGGAAAAATGTTAATTAACATTCTTCTGTGCTGTATTTTCATTTTGAATATGGGAACCCACCCAACTCACATTTCACTAGCATTTTAAGGTGACCTCAATCTGGATTGTACTATTTTTGAGAACTAACTTAAGGCATACTCTACACATGAATCAAGACTATGTAGGTTGCTGGTGTAAAGGGATCTTCTTTTCATTGCTCTGCATGATTTTTCTCTTCCTCCTGGCATTTGAAAGTCTAATTCTACCATTTTTGGTAGAATTTTTGTTGTCTGAAACAGCATCATGCTTTTTCATAATGCTGCTTGTGTAGAGTATGCCTGGGGTTCTTTTCCTAGCTTGAATACAATTTTTTTAATGCCAAATTATCCATTTTAGTTGCCGAGATTGTGAAGATGGGTTCTTTTCTGAGAAATACATTTTATCCTTTTATTATTTGCCACTAATTTTCTTTCTTTTCTACCTGTTCCACACCATATTAGATTGGTTGAAGGGACCATGGAATAAATGAGTCTTCCCTTACATGGCCATGCTGTGCATTGGACCTTGTAATTAAATAGGTCTAATTCTTTCCCCAAAATTGTGCTGGTCAAATAGTGGTGTTTCTACCCAAAAGCACGACTAAGCAAAGTTTGTATTTTGAAATTTTCAAAGCATTTTTCACATTAGCTGAAGGGATTTGTTAAGATCTCCTATACGACTTTTCTACCCTGCCATAATTCTTTGACCTCCTTGTCTATATAGCTCTATTCCCTTGCTGACACTCTTCAGGATACTATGCGTCCTCACCATGGCCTTGTACATTGTGTCTTTCTCCTCTCTGTGCACTAGGCTTAAATGCCTCCTGAGGCTTGTCCCCCCTCCCTTCCAACACAATCACCTGGATGCTTGTGCAGCTTCTTTCGACTTTTTCTTCCAAATCATTCCCCTCCTTCCACTGTTCCTGCTTTCCTCGGCAAGGAGTCCACACCTGTCCCCAACCAACCTTCCATCCAAAGTGAGCACCAAGGAACACAGCAGAGGAACACTGGCTGCACACGGCTCTACTACAGCAACAATCAGCAAGAGAACAGGAAGAAACTCTACAAGGTTGCCTCTCCCCACTTCCTTTGTCTGCCAGAACAGGACTTTTCCAGGATTCCCTGTGGCTTCCTTTGTTCTCTTTCCTGTACCTTAACCAGTGGGGAAGAGGTTGATGTTTGAGAATGACTTGTTCCCTACTCTGGTGACACTACATTGGCAATTGCCCATCTTCCTATTCCCTGCCTTCCCATTTTGCTGCCTTCATTTGAACAATATGCCCCTTCCTGATCTTTCATGCTGCTTCCATTTTCTTTCTCTTGCTTCCATGGCATAAAGTACAGAATTAAGAGATAGAAACAAACAGCCTAATATCTTTCCCCCAACTCCCATCTTTAAATT